CGAATTGTTCTATCCTGGGCCTCTTCCTGGCCATAAGGGGGCCAGGAAAAATTAGAAACGAGCACAATTAGAAATGAGCACGATTAGAAATGAACGACGTGTACCCCGTGGTCCCCCTGGACCAGGCTCCCTGCGTTGGCCCTTCGGCCCACGTGACATGCGTTCTGTTTGGAGGAGGACTTCTAGCCCCTCGCCCGTTTTCCCCATCTTGGGCCTCCTGGGAGGCCCTCGTCGCCTCCGCTGGATTCGCCTCGAAGTCCTGGTAAGAACGCACCCCGGGGGAGGTCTGGGGGTTAGCGGTATCTGTACCTTTTGGTGACCCCATGTTTTGCGCGCGTGCTTATACAAGTTCGTGTCGTGAGCTGAGCGTGTTGCACGCGTGTCAGGCACCCTGCTGCCGCACCCGTCGGGACGTCGAGGCTCAGGGGACGAATAGTCTCTGCTGTTCCGCCGCCGTGTGGGCGGGCGTTCAGCGGCATCGGCGGTCCGCTGCAGTCAAACATTGAGGCGTGGATTCCAAGGTTTCGGGTTAGGGTCGGGTCGGCCAACCCCTAGCCTTCATCATGAACCACGTGCTAGTCCTCTTCCTCCTCCCCCTTCTCCTCCTTCTCCTCTCACTCCTCCTCCTGCTCATCCTCCTCCTCGCCGCTCTCCTGCTCCTCCTCGTCTCATCCCTAGTGCAGATGAGGAGGAGGAGGAGGAGGAGGAGGAGGAGCAGGAGGAGGAGGAGCAGGAGCAGGAGCAGGAGGAGGAGAAGGAGCAGAAGCAGGAGGAGGAGGAGGAGGGGGACAAGTAACTGTTTTCCATTTTATAGGCGGGGCCCCAGTCCGGCAAACGAGGTCGCCGAAAAGAACGTGAGTTTCCTGCTATTTGGGGGGGGTTCTGCATACCTCTCCCAGCTATATCGGGCGTTCCAGCAAGGGGCCTCGGCTCCTTCCTACGATTCTTAGGAATTCCAAACGATTCTTAGGAAATCCTAGGGATCCCTAGGAATGCCTAATGATTCCCAGGAATGCCTAAGGATTCCTAGGAATGCCTAAGGATTCCTAGGAATGCCTAAGGATTCCTAGGAATGCCTAAGAATTCCCAGGAATGCCTAAGGATTCCCAGGAATTCCTAAGGATTCCTAGGAATGCCTAAGGGTTCTTAGGAATTCCAAAGGATTCTAAGGGATCGGGAGGTTGGCTTCTCTTCTTTTTCTGCGGGGGGAGGCGGAAGCAGAGCGAGGGCAGGTCCGCCGGCGGAAGCTGGCGGAGGCTTGAGAGAACCACCCCCGCAGTGGTGGGGTTGCCCGCGAGGCCGGTTCGGGGTAACATCAGGATTTGATTTCCCCACGCACCCTCGCTGCAAGGCTTTCGATCTGAGTTTTGATATTGCGCCTGTCATAGGTAGGAACTGAAGCCCGCCACCAAACTGCCGAGCGACGATGAGGGAGTGGCGACGCAAACAACACGGCAGTAGTCTTGGCCTTCCCGTAGACGCCGTTGTTGGACTTGTTGCACATATTGGGATTTTTGTGCACGAATCACATACCCTCTTTACATGAACATAGAATACATGCAGCCATGTATCTGAAGGGTTTGCCTTCTGCTGCGAGCCTCCCGCCGCTTGCTCGGTCGGTTCGTTTGTTGGCCTGCGGGCTGGCCGGCTGGCAACTCGGCTGGGTGGCCTGCGGTCTGAAGAAATTGGTTGGCCGTTGGTTTCGCCTGGCGGTTGGCTGGCTGGTTGCGCACCCCTGTGTTGATTCAGAGGAGACGGTGGCTCCGGGGGCGCGCTTCTATGGTGAGTTGCAAGGGTTCGGGGCCTCGGGAGCGCGCATCCCACGCCGGGTCGTGGCCTCGAGTCCAGGGCAGGATTTTGCTAAGATGACGGGGGGGGGCGAGGTGCGCCCCCCGAACACATCTGCCAGTTGGGACAGCTTTCTGCTCTGGAGGGGGGGAGGGCGCTTTGGGCAGCCTCCGGGGGCGCGAGTGCGCTGTGCTTCAAGAGGGACCGTTGCCTCAGGAGAGCGAGCCTAATACAGGATGTGACAGCTTTCTGCTGCTGAGAGGGGGAGGGCGCTTTGGGCAGCCTCCTGGAGCGCCAGTGCGCTGTGCTTTACGCAGGACCGTTGCCTCAGGAGCGCAAACTTGTCGTAACTCATGGGGGCTGCGGCCTCAGTGGCGCGTGCCCTACACAGTAGCCTGCGAGAGGTTCTGGCGTCTGGAGCGCGAGGGCGCAGTGCTTTGCAAGAGAGGCTGTGGCTTCGGGAGCGCGATCCGGTTGTGATCTGCAAGGGGTGGTGGTGTCGGAGAGAGCGTGATCCACCGCCGCTTTACTGTGGAAAATTGCCAACCTTTTCCTCCGGAACCCGGGGGTCGCCCCCCCCCCCCCCCGAAAATCCCCCCCCCCCCCTCCGAAAAATCCCCCCCCCCCCCCCCCCCCCTGCTGGACCCCCCCCCCCCCCCCCCCCGGGAAAAAACCCCCCCTAACCCCTCCCCCTCCCCCCCCCCTCCCCCTCGAAAAACCAGGGGGGTCACTACCGGTTCGAACCCCCACCCCCCCCCCCCCTCCGGATCCGGAAAACCGGGGGGGGTCACTACCGGTTCGAACCCCCCCCCCCCTCGAAAACCGGAGGGGGATCACTACCGGTTCGAACCCCTCCCCACCCCCCCACTCACCGCCAGCAAACGACTCCCGGTCCCTACCACCGTCCGCATCACATCCCCCACTGTTGTTCCCAGCACCACTGTCCTCACCACCACTGTCCCCACTGTGTCCCCACCAGTGCCCCCACCACTGTCGCACTGTCCCCACTGTCCCCACCACTGTTCCCACCACGGTTCCACTCTCCCCACTGTCTCCACGGCCCCAACCACTGCCCGACTATCCCCACTGTCCCCACTGTCCCACTGACTCCGCCGCTGTCCCACTGAGCTGTCCCACTGTTCCCACCACTGTCCCCACTGTCCCCACCACTGTCCCCACTGTACCTCTGTCCCATTGTCCCACCGCCGTCCTCGCCACCGCCTTCACCACTGTCCCCACCACCATTGTACCCTCCACTGTCCCACTGTTTCCACCTCATTCCCACTGTGCCCACACCACTGTCCCCACCACCACCGTCCCCACCACTGTCCACTGTCCCCCCTGTTCCCACCATTGTCCCCACCACTGTCCCCACCACTACCGGCCCTCTACTGTCCCACTGTCCCACTGTCCCCACCACTGTCCCGCTGTCCCCTCACCACTGTCCCCACCAACACCGTCCCCACCACTGTCCGCACCCCCACTCGGTTTTCGAGGGGAGGGGGGGGGGGGTTCGAACCGGTAGTGACCCCCCCCCCTTTTCATGATGAGCTTGGGGGGGGGGGGAGGGGTTCGAACCGGTAGTGACCCCCCCGGTTTTCCGGAGGGGGGGGGGGGAGGGGTTCGAACCGGTAGTGACCCCCCCTCGGTTTTCCGCCAGCAGCGGTAGAACACGCTCTTTCAAATCGGGAACGCGCATCTACGGTGAGATAGAAGGGGGTGCGACCTCGGGGGCGCCAACAGGGCGCAACTTGCAAGACACTGTGGCCTCGGCAGCGCGACTTCGTAGCAATCTTCTTGAGATTGTGTCTTCGGGAGTGCGAGCTCGTGTTATATCGTAAGAGGATGTAGCCTCGGGGGCGCGAGTATGTAGCTTTTACGTGTCCTCGGCACCGCGATTATTCCATCTCCCCTATGAGACGTGGGGGGGGGGCAAGCTGCGTGGGGGCTTCGCGCCGGCGAAGATTGTGCCAGGGCCATGTTCCCGCGCCGGCAAAAAATATGGCCACAAGGGCCGACAACATTACGCTGCATTTCAGCGCGCCGTGGGATGCGACAACGTCCCCATTTGCATCGCGCGGCGCATTGCGCGCGTGAGTACGCGCGCGCACGCAAACGTACAATCAACTACACAGGCGCCGCAAACTCACAAACACACATGCACACACGCACAACCGCCCACACATGCACACATGCGGTGGTGCTCGGCACGCAGGAACCACGCGAGTGCTCACGCACTCAAGCGCATACGCACGCCACGAAAGGCGCGCACACACACGCACACACCCACACACACATTCACATACCTGAGTACGTGTGTGTATGCATGCGTATGTGTGTGTGTGTGTGTGCGTGCGTGCGCGCGTGCGTGCGTGTGTGTGTGTGTGTGTGTGTGAGTCTGCGTGCGTGCGTCTGTGTCTGTGTGCGTGCGTGAGAACGTAAGTGCGCGCGCGTACATTGGGTGTACTGCGCGCGTGCGCGCGCTTGTTCAAGTGTGTTGGGGTTGGCGACGCGCGCCCGCGCTCACGCGAACATTGAGACAACACACGGGCGATACTCAAGCAGCCCTCTCGCTGGGGCCGCCGATTACCCCGAGCCCAACGCCGGCGAGAATCGTATTGGTGGCCAACATCGCGCGCCCTGAAAATGACACCACCCACGTCTATTAGGGGAAGCAGAATAATTTTGACAAGCCCAAGTGTGGGAAGATCGGGGGTCTCGCTCGGGCTTCATTCGTTTCAACACAGGAACTATAACAGATCCAGAATCGAATTCTGAAACTGGGGACTTGACTTGGGCCACGGAGCAAGGGCGCCTAGTCCTCGCAACCTCCTGGCCCCGAAGAGGCGGGCCCAGTCAGATGCGTTTATGCGTGTATAGTGTTGTGCGCACTAGTGCATTTGTCTAGATCACCAAGTCCATGCCCCTTCCTCTCTCTCCCTATCTCTTCCTCTGCCTATTTATTTATAGACACGTGCGTTTGGCTCGTTATATCTTTCTTTATCTCTCTCTCTCTCTCTCTCTCTCCCTCACACTTGTTCAGCTGTCTCTGTCTCGCCGTTCGGTATGTATACATGTACGTCCGAACTCCTTGTTGCCAATGTCTCTCTCTCTCTCTCTCGCTCTCTCTTTCTCTCCGTCTCTCTCTCTCTCTCTCTCTTTATCTCCCCCTTTCTCTCTCTCACAATCACATGTTTTTCATTTGTTGTTTTATTATCTCTCTCTCTCTCTCCCTCTCTGTAATCCTCTCGGTCTCTCCACCCCTTCCCATTCTACGGCGCGGCCTTCGCAGGAACTCCGCCCTACGCCCACATAAAACATCGCATGGGATCGATGCACGCACCGCGCTGTGTCACCGGCTAAGGGGCAGAGAAAGCGGCGAAGGAGCTCCTCGCCATCGGGGAAGCGGGTCTTGAGGGAAACGGGTCTTGACGTTAAGTTGGGCACGTTCTTTTGCAGGAGGAAAACTCAAACATAGTCAACAAATAGCCTGGATTTCTTTGTTTTTTATTATTCCCTACATCCAAAGTGGGGTTCTTGTTTTCTCTGGACACCCCGCGCAGGAACAGGAACCCACCATCATCATCATCACTCATTCCTCACTCACTCACTCACTCATCATCCCTCACACACTCACTCACTCACTCACTCACTCACTCACTCACTGACTCACTGACTCATCAGCACTCACATATGATGATAATGAGTGTGCGCGTGAGAGAGTGTGATGATGATCATCATCATCAGTCAGTCAGTCACTCACTCACTCGCCTTGGGCCTCGTCTGTGAGTGAATTGCGAGGAAGTCTCCAGCGGGAGCCCCCTCCCTATGGGGCCCGCGGATCATGTTACTAATCCGAGCGGGTCATCCAATTCTTGAAACTGTCGCCTGTTTGGGGCTCTCGCGCTGCCAGAACGCCATTCCCAGGCCACATCTGTGAGTGAATTGCGAGGAAGTCTCAAGCGGGAGCCCCCTCCCTATGGGGCCCGCGGATCATGTTACTAATCCGAGCGGGTCATCCAATTCCTGTAACTGTCGCCACTTTTGGGCTCTCGCGCTGCCAGAACGCCATTCCCAGGCCACATTTGTGAGTGAATTGCGAGGAAGTTTCAAGCGGGAGCCCACTCCCTATGGGGCCCGCGGATCATGTTACTAATCCGAGCGGGTCATCCAATTCCTTTAACTGTCGCCTTTTTGGGGCTCTCGCGCTGCCAGAACGCCATTACCAGGCCACATTTTGAATGCCCGGAGCCAACTGTAGGCCACTTCGTGTTCTTCGTGCTCCCAGAACACCATTCCCGGGCCACATTATGAATGCCCGGAGCCAACTGTAGGCCACTTCGTGTTTTTTGTGTTCCCAGAACACAACTCCGGGGCAACTTTCTGAAAGTCCAGAGCCAAAACAGGAGGGCGAGGCGGGGGGCAACGTAGGGAGCGGGGGGAGGGCCCGCGCCAGGGCGAGAAGAAATACACGCAGCAGAGACAGCCAGGACTCCTCACCAACCACGAGGACGACGGTGAGGGCTTTTTCCAGATTCGCCCAGAGGATTCTCATGTGGGGTCCTTCCGTCGGAGTAATGTTTCGATCATTTTGGATTATCTGTTGACTATGTTTTGAAACTTTTCTTCCAAATCCCCCTCTAGGAGGACACGCCCGACCTGACCCTAAGGTTTTTCGCCGTTTCCTCGCCCGCGGGGCTCTCCACGGGCCCCGGGAGTGTCAGAAAACGACTCAGGATGAAGACTCTGTTTGGGGGCAGGCCCTAAGGTCCATGCCCCGCTTCCTTCTCAGCACCCGCTTCCCCCACGCTGAGTTCCGCATGTGGGCAGCCTGGCACCCCGCAGGCTGGGCGGCTGGGGTGTCATTGGACCATCTTTCTCGGCCGACCCTCATCGGAGGTCAGCGTATGGGCACCGCTGCTCGTCCTGGAAGGCCCTCGTCGCCACGGCTGGGTTATCCTCGGAATTCTTGACGCTTCGCGTATGTCTGAATGCCCGAGCGGCGGCGCCTTCTGCCGCGCGCGGGTGCGAGCCTCGGCTTGCGCGCGGGGGCGGCTTCGGCGCCATGCCGAAGATCAAGACCACCGCCTCCAAGGAGGCCATGCGCTGGCAGGACGACCTGCCGACTGGCGACATTGCTCAGGAGCCGGGCCTCCAGGGCAACGACTTTGACGTCAGGATGCAGGACGAGCCGGATGGCATGGTCGCCGCACGCAAGGTGGTAGACGTCTTGAAGGAGAAGGGCGTGTGCGTGGTGCAGGCCAACGCTCCCCAGGAGTTGGTAGTATCGGCGTACGAGGAGGCCGAGGAGCTGTATGGTGACGGGAGGTTCCGCGCGCCCCTGACGGTGTACGACGACCATTCGAGATTGCAGGTCCAGTGCTGGAGCCAGGCCCTCCAGGACGAGGAGCGGGTCTATTGGGTCGGGCAGAGCGAGGGTGCGAGCAGCCAGCACATCACCAACTCCTTGAGGGCTCTTGCGAAGAACATCGCCGATTTCGGCGGTGGATTGTCCGAGATGCTGCAGAAGGATCTGGGCCTGAACTTCGACAGATTTGGCAATTGCATGCTGTCCTGCTACACGGGCAAGCGCAAATACGCCCTCCACATGGACAATTGCCACGGCGACGACGGCGACGAGGGCGCGTTCCCGGACAACGGCATGCGCCTGACGCTGATTTACTTTATCAATTTGTATTGGGACCCGAACAACTGTGACAACGGCGGGGGTCTCGACGTATTTCTGTCCGATCCCAAGGAGCCACCGGAGTCCGCGGCGGCGGCCAAGGGCTGCAGGAGGCTGCGGATAGCCCCGCACGCGGACACGCTGGTGCTCTTTCTGTCGGAAAGGATGGCGCACCAGGTCTCAGAGCCCCGAATCATCAGGGGTAACTCGGGTCAGGGATAACTCGGGTTCGTTTCTCGGGAATCCAAACCCGAGTTACCCCGGACCCGAGTTACCCCGGATAATTCGGGCGTCCAGAGCCCCGAATCATCAGGGATAACTCGGGTCAGGGCTAACTCGGGTTCCTTTTCCGGGAATCCAAACCCGAGTTACCCCGGACCCGAGTTACCCCGGATAATTCGGGCGCCCAAAGGTCATCGCCACATCAGGCGATGAGAAGTGGTTTGCCATGACCGTGTGGTGCTTGAACGGCCCTGCCATGATGCAGATGAGCAGGCGGTTGCACGGCATGAGGGCCGCGGGCAGAAAGAGAGGCGACGGCTCGGACTCGGATGACGCCGACTGAGGGTTGGCGGGCGCTTCCCGACGGCCTCTTCAGTGTCCGCCTCATTCCTTCCTATGCTCTTCTTTCCTGGCCTCCCTCCTCCCCTCCTCTCCTCCTCCCCGCTCCGCCGAATAATGGCCGCCTGCGCGCCCCCCCCCCCCCGCGGCCGCGCGTGCGCACCGGGCGCCCGCAGCTCCCGGCGAGACGCTGCGCGCGGAACAAAAAATTAGACTCTGCCGTCATTCAGCTCACAGCGTGCTACAGAAGGCACCCGCAGATCCTCGCCAGGCCGAACTGGGCCTTCTACAACAGCTGCATGACCAGCGGACTCACCAAGCCTCTCGCGGATCGGCCCCTGGTCGAAGGCCTCCCCTGGCGCACAATCAGCCCCTGGGACAACAACACGCTGGAAGAGCTGGCCAGAGTCACGAGCTCAGATAAGGACGACCTGGAAAAGACCCTCGCTCCGCTAAGCCCCACTACCTCAGACCCTGGTGATAGACACCGCCTCCTGCTGGTCGACCCCTCCTTGGAAGTCACCTCCAGCATCCACGCCGGCTACGCGAACCTGCCAGAGGCGGCCCTTGCGGTTGACATCGTTCGCGCCCTCCCACCGGCCTTCGACAAGGGGGTAGCAGTGCGGCTGGTCGTCGGTTACCACCTGCAGACAGCGATTCTGGAAGACGGGTGGCCGAAAGGCCCAGAAAACATCTCAGGCGTCATCCGCCACTCCCGTGGTGGGAAGGGCAAACAAGAGGGCGGCAAGCGCAAGGGCGACGAAGATACCAGGATCGACCGCAGTCGCTCCCCAGCGCCGAGCGCCGGGTCGAACGAGGCTGAAGACCGACCTGTGGACACCCACGGATGGGAACGGGTGTTCGACCAGCACGATTGCGACTGGACCAGCATCGGTCTGCGTTTCCCTGGGGTCCGACGTATCGCCCACCAGCACCTCAGGAAAGGCACCCTCAACCTTGCCACGATCGACTCCAGCCGGGGCGGCCAGGCCGACATTGTGATCTTCCTCACCACCAGATCCAACGGAAGTCACAACTGGGGCTTCATCGACGACGCTAACAGGGTCAACGTTGCGATCGCCAGAGCCACCCGGTTCGTCGTAGTAATCGGCGACGGGCGGACGTTCGCAAGCGCGTCCGCATCGAGGCTTCGGGTGCTGTCGGAGGTTTGGAGGCTCACCAACCTCTGGGCCAGGTGGCAAAAGAACCGCACACCAGGCAACAGGCTCCTCCTTGAACCAGACACGAGCTTCGACCAGGTCAGAGAGCTGGCGACCTGGGTCGACGCGCCCGTCTCCTGGTCAAGCAATGCCGACGGGGACGATGCTACAAAGGAGATCGACAACGCCATCAAGCGGGCCCGGGAGTCCCTGGCCAACAGCTTCGCCGACAGAGTCGAAGCGCCGTTTGAACCGGTTTCAATTGGGAGGCCCTTGGAAGGTCTATACAGGACGTCATGAACAACCTACTCTCAGCGCCAGCGTTTGCAGCGGTCCTCTATTTAGTCTCCGGGCTCCACCCGCGCGAGTTCTCCCTGGCGGCCCCCCCCGGGGACCCTGGCTGACTTGACCGGAAGGCATGGTCTCACCTCGGCTTCCTCTATGAAATGGTTGGCCTGGACGCTAGCAACCTGGCCTACAACATGTCCTGGGCATGCCTGGTTTGGGTGCTGGGCTTCGGTGCCCCCTGGGGGGAGCGCGCGCGCGCCCTGACGCCCGACTCCCCCCCACCTCGCCCGGCGGCGAAGGGGCAAGGCGTTCGCCCGCGCACAGGACGCCAGCGCACGCCAAAAGGGCCACTTCGACAAGTCCCCCAGGCGCGGGGCGAGTCTACGCGGAACTGTTGTCGCCACATGGCACTTCTGCATGGGCACCGTGGCCCAGTTGTTCCGTGCAGCGCACAGAGATCCAGAGCTACGCGAAAGGCTAATGGACACGGGCGACCGCCCCATGGGCACCCGAAGGCCCGTGCACTATTGGTCATCATGATGCTCATGATAAGAGAGCCCAGGACCTTCCTATGGCACTTCCCGAATGCCGAAGGCGCGGGCGACGTCGTCGAGGCTGCGCGAGGCCTTTGCGTACCCCAGCAGGACGCCCGCCTGGAGTTTCGGCAGAGGTTCGCAGCAGCTTGGGGTTTCACGATTGACGACTTCGTAGACCTCCACGGGAAGATCGAGGACGCGCTCACCCAAGTCTCGAGGCTGGTAACGAACGCTCACCACCGCGACCTGGAGGGGCATGGAGAAGGCTGACTTCAAGCTCAAGGCCCCAATGCTCGTCCTGGAGGCGATCGTCCTCGCCGCCAACCTCGCCCCCCCTCGCGACCTGCAAGTTAGTGCTCCATCTGCGCCCTACACACCGCCCTGGCCGGATCCGACATCGGCCTGGGAGAGAACAAGGCTGACGCTGCTCTGGGGTCCGTCGGGGGAGGTGCAGCTCTCTCCAAGACCGACCTGGCGTGGCCCGCGCCAGCGCCCCCCGCGCCGCGCACGAGATTGGCCCCTCCCGCCGTCACTGACGACAGACTACAGAGCGATCAGAAAAACGCCGTCTTCACCTGCGACGGCTGCCAGACCGCCAAGCTGAAATGCACAGAAGGGACCTGGGAGGGCGACGCAGTCATGGACCTCCTGGCCAGCAACAGGCCACAGGCGCACCTGGACGGGCAGAATCTCAGATGGCTATGCGAGACCTGCTGGGCGACCAGCCTCAACATCAAGCGCGTCCCAAGCCCGGCCGGCCCGACAGTCGCAGCCAGGATTCTCGACTGCACGGCCTGGCGAAGCGGACGGCCGAAGGGCCCGTATCCTACGCTCTTCCTCCCCTCGCCAGCCCCTGGCCCTCGGGGTGCGGGCGCGACCCCGCCGCGGGGGGAACCAGGGAGCTGAGCGACCTCCTCATGGCCGCGCCCGGGCCGCACCTCCCACAGCTTCCCCACGCCGCGCTTCCAGCGAGGAGGATTTCGGACGGAAGGTTCGGAGGCGACGCCCGCAAGACAGGCTCCTACTCCGCCAAGGGCGACACCTGCCCTCCCTCAGGGCCGCCACTGGCGTGGACGGCTGACTCGCCAGCGCCCGGTTGCTTCATCTGGAAGGCTGAGGCCGAGGCAGCGCGTCACGGGCAAACATGCCTCCCCAGTTGGGGCCAGTGGCCACTCTCCGGGGTCCAACGCAAGTGGAACGCCACGTTGTGCTGCCGGAGATGCCTGGTGTTCATCTGGAACGTCGCCCCAGCAGCCCTGGGCCACATCATGGATCGCGACTCCTGGGGCATCTTCCCACGACAGCCCACGGCCCGCCAGGGCCACGCAGCGCGGACGGACACCAGCGGCGTCGCCCCAGACCTGGCCGCCCTCCTCGAACTAGCGGCAGCGGCGCGAACGCGCGCGACCCGGGCGCATGGGGGCGCAGAACGGCCCGCTCAGGCGCATGGCCCCCGAGGCCCAGGCCCCCCTTCCCAGACCTACCTCCGCCAGCCGCCCCAAAGCTACGCCGCAGAGACGTCTCAGCGTTAGCCTGCGACGATTTGGGGCGAGCCCAAGCACGGACGTCGCAACGCATTGAAGGGGGCTCACCATGCCCTGGGTGCTTACCTGCGGCACTACCACCCCGCACTGGACGGCGAGTGGAGGGACTTTGCAAGGCCTGCGGCGCCGACATTCCAGCTCCGAACGACCTGGGGACCTCGTGGCACGCGCGCCAGCTGGCCCCCTTTCTGAACAAGGTATACGGTTCAGAGGTCCCCGAGAACGGCCTCCCCGAGGACGCCACCTGGGACGGCGAGAGGTGCTGCGCGGCAGAGACGTCTCAGCGTTAGCCTGCGACGATTTGGGGCGAGCCCAAGCACGGACGTCGCAACGCATTGAAGGGGGCTCACCATGCCCTGGGTGCTTACCTGCGGCACTACCACCCCGCACTGGACGACGAGTGGAGGGACTTTGCAAGGCCTGCGGCGCCGACATTCCAGCTCCGAACGACCTGGGGACCTCGTGGCACGCGCGCCAGCTGGCCCCCTTTCTGAACAAGGTATACGGTTCAGAGGTCCCCGAGAACGGCCTCCCCGAGGACGCCACCTGGGACGGCGAGAGGTGGGCCGCGGCCAGGATGGTAGGGCACCTGCTACGCAGCCCCAGGGACAAGGACGCCTGGAAAGCCCATCACCAAAGCGTGGCAACCAACAGGGGGCCGAGCCCCTTCCGCCACGACCTCGCTGTCCTCGCCAGCTTCATCGCCAGCCTGGACTCAGGTGCCCTCGCAGCTGCCTCCATCACCACCCTGGCAGAGCAGGGCCCCATCGGCTGCCAACGTCGACGAGACCCGTGCGACCCCCTCTGGGGAAACCACGATGGCCTGGCTACAGCCGGAACCAGAGGGGGCAGCGACCGCGGCGTGTGAGGCCACCACGGCCACCGGTGCCCCAATCAGCGGCGTGACCAGCAAGGAGGACGGGCCTCCCGCTCCGCGGGCAGTCCACGGCCCCCAGACGTCAGGTCGCGAGGTGACAGAGGCCCCCCCTGAGGAGGAAGAGTTCTGCTCCCCAACGGACCCTGCGCCCTCCGTGAAAGCGGACATCGACGGGGTCGACTATGATGAGGGCGGGGGTGACGGCGCCCCCCTCTCCGCCTCGCTGCCCCATGGCGGAGCAGCGGGCAACTCGGTCGACCCCGAAGACAGCCCGCCCCCACCTTCGCCCGAGACGACAGGCGAAACAACCAGCGGAAGCCCTCCCGACGACCCCCTGGGGGTGTTTGGGCAGGGCGCGGACGTTTCGAGCCGACCCGAGCAAGGCCGAGCCACGGGCAAGGCCAGCGCTGGTCCACCGCCTAGGGTGAGACACGACCCCCTGCGCAGGAACGCCCCCCTAGGCCTGGCCCGCACGCCGGGGAGCAGCGGCGCGCCAGCCGCAGCGCCAGCCGACCGCTCACCAACTCCCCCGTGGCGACGCGACTAGGCCGTAAGACGGGTCTTCGACGGGCTGGTCGACCATTTTGACGGTGGCCGCATGCGCAAGAAGTTGATGGGCAACGTCGACTTCGACAGGACAGGAGAGGCACTTGCAGCCAAGATCTCCCGTCTCCAGAAGACCTTGGGAGGAATGTTCAGCAGCGTCTGGCGCGCCTGCGCCCGCGTGCACCCGGCCGGGGCAAACGGCCGGAAGAGCGACCCCGCTCGGAACCCCGAATCCATTTGCCGCAACTTCCTG